AGAGAGAGAGAGAGAGAGAGAGAGAGGCCAGGGTCTTAACATGGGCGTAGGCCTTTTTGTGGCATGCACTGCTTCAGTGATCATGTTAGGCTCGCTTGTGGAAGATTCAGGCTGGTGAACGAGTGCTTAGCTTTAGAAATGCAACCTTTTCTAAGGAAGGAAGATGGCAGGGTCTGTAATGTAAAATTTACCTGGAAAAATTTTTACGTCCTTTCTTTCATAAATATTCTTTTGAATATTTGGCTTTGATTCTGCATGTCGGAGTCAACCCAGGTTGAGAGGGATACAGTGTCCCGGCAGAAAGACGGAGATGTTTGAGATACAAATATTCTTCTCATGGAAATCAAACTCAGGTCTTCTAGGCGTGATATGAAGCACCAAATAACTACTCCTCAGACATCAGTTTTCTTATGACCTTATGCAGTTGCGAGCGCCGTAAAACATTTACATTAAAAAAAAGACATCAGTTTATATATCTTCTTAAAGATACCTGGCTTCCATTCCAGCCACAAATGTGGGGCCCCATGTTTAATTTTAAATTAAATCACCACAACGTATATACTTCTCTTTTCTTTCTTTGTCTCTATCTTTTCTCTTGCTTGTGGTTGGTTCACTGGTTTTCTAGTGTGGTTTGCTCTTTCTTTCTTACCAAGAATCTGTCCTTTCTATCTGTCCTTTGTGGGTGGTTGGCAGGTGCTCTAGTGTGGTTTGCTCTTTCTTTCTTACCAAGAACCTGTCCTTTCTACCCGTCCTTCTTTTCTTTGCATGCTACTCCCTAGTAACACCTCTACTCTTCAGCACTTAAATGACTTATTTATGTTGCTAGGGCGGTAAAACTCTTTCTTTCTAAAATTAACCTAAATTCTCTCTTACTTTTCTTTTGCCAGGATAAAGTTATAATTTGTTATATTTTTTTGTCTTTTCCTCCTTTTTCCCAGTATGAGCTGCTCTTCTGTGTGCAAGATGACAATGACCCGGCCATTCTCGTGGTCAAGAGTTTGATAGAAAGTTATCCAAAAGTAGACGCTAAACTATTTATAGGTGAGTCTGATAAGAGATTTATTCTGTGTTTTTGTGTTGTTGTTTTTTTTTTATTGTGAGGAGCTTTATCAGTAAAATGGGTTTACCTGTTGTGTTTGAATTGAATGAAATATAAAATCTCCCTTTCCTACACCAAACACGTCTCTATCTATTCGTGTGTTGAAATGACATTGTGCTGTGTGTTTATAGTCGTGAATATAAATCATAATTCAAATGATTTTTGGTTTGTTTTTGGTTTGTTTTTGTGTTTTTTTTTTGGGGGGGGGGGTTTGCTTTGTTGTTGTTGTTTTTTCCTTGAGGGAGGGGGGGGTTGGTTGCTACACATATATTTCAAGTAAGCGTTGTCACAGAGTATAGAATGGGTGGTAGGAGGGTGCCATAGGTAGGTCCTACTTCTTTACTTCCCCTCTGTTGTTTCTGTCTATCTGTCTTGCTTTTTCCCAAACCTAAATGACCATTATTATTATTGAATTGTGTCAATGTGCTTCTCCCTATTCAAACAAACAAGCAAGAGTACAGGATGGATGGTAGGAAGGTGCTGCTGGTTGGTCGTATTTTTTGTAGTCTTTTATATATATTTTGCTTCTGTCTGTCTATGACGCTCTCATCTCAACACTAAATGACAGTTATTGTGTCTATGTGCTTCACATTGCTCATAACTCGAACGGGAAAGACAATAATATATTATAGCTTTACTCAAGTCTTTGGAGGGTGCTTCTGGTCTCTCTCATTTTTGTTTACTTGCCCTCTGTTGTTCCTTATTTTTTTATTCTGTTAGTTGGAAGGCACCACTGGTAGGTTCTACTTCTTGTCTGTCTGTCTGTCTGTCTGTCTGTCTGTCTGTCTGTCTGTCTGTCTGTCTGTCTGTCTGTCTGT